TGGTGCAAAAATGATGTGTGTCACAATTACTACATTTTCCAGAAAATTCTCCATCCATGCCCTGCATGGAGATCTGCACATTACAGCCCAGACCGCCCCCACCCATTTTAACTACAGTTAAGTGAAGGTTTTCAGAGATGAAACGTTCTAATTATGAGTCGCTGGTACACACGCACACTTGCCAGTAGGAAATTTATTTCCAAATGTAATCCACGGTGGCACGACACTCTATTTTCCAGCCAGGGGCTGCGTCTGAATCACTTTCCAAATACCTCACCCCAAGGTGTGACGGCGTCATCGGGCATCTGTGTAATGAGTGCTTTTAGTGCATGTTTCTTGGGGACACTACTTCCCTTGCTCTTTTACAAGGCAGGAAGTCTGCACCTACCTCTGGACAATGACAGAGTGTAATGTAAACCACAGTAGTGAAACCAACAGAAAAAAGAACCAGAGTCAAAGGCACGTCATCAGAAGGACAAAACAGACCCAGGAGTCCCCCCTGAACTGCGTTTCCAGAAGAAAGGAGGGAGAAGTAAAAGCTGGATCCTGAGACGGATGCCCCGTAATGGTAGTATCTGTGACTCGGAGGTGCCCCACAAAGCACGCCGAGGGGTGGAGGGACGTAGGGAAAGCAAGCACAGGGCATCGCACACCTGCAGGGACAGGGCTCTGGCGAAGAGCTCAGTCAGTCGCCCTGCCAGCTGGACTGCACTCCCCTCTCTGAGCTCCAGTCTGCAGTGGGCATGTGTCAAGGGCTCTCGAAAGGGGAGCAGCTGCGGTGCCCACTCGTCAAGTGAGCACTGACTGTAAGAAGGAACGCGCAGGGCCACAGGTCACGTCTGCTGGAAAGAGTCCCCGAAGGGGACAGGGTTTACCAGCTTCAGTGCATACGTGGCTGGCATCCCTATTCCTGACAAGGGTCCTGCAACACACACACAGTCTCTTCTTCTGGGAGGATCCTTGTCAGGGGGCAGGGAGGGGGCGCTGCGCCCACCAGCATCGTACTCCAAACAGAGAAAGTCGGACTCAGGGCTCGCTTTCCTGTGGGCTCTGTTCTGCCGCCAGGCCTCTGACTGGGCTCCAAATTTCAGCAGACTTCTTTGCAAGGAACTTAATGAACTTCCACCTAGCAAGCTGAACAAAGACCCAGGGCCCGCTGCTGGCTCCCAGGAGGGCAGGGCAGGAAGAATGTGAAGGACAGACCCTGGACTCCAGCGTCAGACCCCAGGGCACAGGACAAAGGGTGTTTCCAAAGTGCCCTGCAGCTGCTGGGATCTAGGCAAGCCCCCAGGGCAGATGAGAACCACAGGCAGAGACCCCTCAACACTCCTTTCTCTGCTCTACCTTCCTGAGCAGCAGGCAGGACCCTGGGAATGTGTGGACAGGATACACGAGAAGAACCAACGCACACACTGAAAAGCTTCTGGTCTCACTTCTAAAAAGTCTCCTACACGTCACGTGGGGGTCAGACGACAAGGCGCTGTGGGTCCTATGAAAATTAGTCTGGAGCGTGGGCTGACCTGATGGAAGGAAATTCTCTTCTTGTCATCAGCCTCACGGATGCTCCACGGTGGAAAGAAACTAGCCTAGGCAAGGTGAACAGAACCACAGAGGGATAGGGGTTCTGGCCACACACTGGGCACGATGGTGATGTGGTCCAGTCAAGCAGTGACTTTCGGAACTCAGTGACAGCCACAAAGGCCCTGCACCACACACACACACCCCGTCCCCCCCAGAGCTTGCGGTCTGTCTGGGAGCCCAGACAAACAGGCATCACCAGTCTCAGGTACTGTGACTGCGCAGGCTGGGAGCTAAGGCCGCACAAAGATGTCCAACACAGGTCACCTACTCTGCCATGCAAAGGAGCAGCCACACACCAGCCGTTTGCATCCTGGAACCCGTGTGCATTTAGGGAGACGTGGTAAATTATAATCAACAGTGCGAATCTCCTTCTCATGCCCCACACAGATCTCTTATTATTCTCTGATCTTTAAGAATTCAAACACGACCTTATTTTTCTTTGCTAACTTTTACGGATGTTACATAATCACTGCCTGGGACACCCAGAAAATGTATTTTACGTGCACTGCATTTTACATATTCCAACATTCTGAATACTGTTAACCTCCCCCTCTGCCTGGCCGCGGTATCAAGATTAGACATCATGGGCTGCTCCCTGAAGCCCTCCGTGGGACCGTCCAACGCCAGAGGCATTCGCCCAGCGTAGCTAAGGAACACGTGAAAGGTGGCTAGCTTGACGGAGATGAGCTTCTACATGGAAAATGCAGATTTCAGAGACTCGGGCTCAAAAATGCAGGTAACAGATCTGGGGAATTTTTACGCTGATGGGTCGAGAAACAATATTTTGGATATGTTCAGAGAGGAAAAAATAGACCGTTCAAGTTGGTTTCATCTGTACGTTTCTGCTTCTTCAGCGCTGCCGTGCAACGTTTCATGCAGTCCTATTTCTACCAGACAGCACTGCTCCGCACAACAAACTTCTGGTCTTTTACAGAGAAAGGGCCCACCCCTTTTGTGCTCCTAATTTCAGTTATTTACGAACTAGATAATCTTTCCTATCCAGAAGCCAAGAGACTGTTTGAAAACTTGTCATCTTCTTTCGAAATCTTGTCCCGGTTCATAAACAATCTCAGCCCCCTTTCCTCTTTTTCTAAATGGCCTCTGAGAACCAAAATTATTACCTGGATCACGGCTGATTGTTACCTCACGTCAACAAAAAACACAACCCGAAAACGTCTTTCCTATTTCGAATGTACTGGGAAGTGCCCTAGCATTATCAACATTTCTACAAAAATTTCCATTTACTTCCTCATTGTCCCCTGATTAAACAAGTTTCTCCGGAATAGAAGCATTCCCCGTGAAACCAAGTGTTTTCCATTTCGTTTCCCGGAGAGCAGCAGTCTTGGGGGCTACCGTGGCAAAGGGAACTTCGAGGGGAAACACATTGACCGTTCTAGAGAGCAGACTTTCTGCAAAAGGACTCCTTACGAATTCATGGTAGGGTGTTACGCAAACAGCAGATACCTGGGAAGAAGTCAGGCGCTGAGGAACTCGAGCAGGGGGCAGTGGTTGGACCCAGCAAGGTAAGGCAGTAGGTTTTAGACAACAGTGTTTTACACAAGACGCTTTACGAAAGAACGGAGTTAAGGAATTCCTGAAAAAGTCCTGCCAAGTCTTACTACCTCAAACAAGACGTAAAGCAGAGAGGCGGGGGGCAAAGGGCAGAAAACACGGAGAAAAATCTTCCCAAATGGCACTCATTCTTGGTTTTCGGACCAGATCGAAGGACTGGCTAACAGTGCCAGGGACTAGTGGAGCCCCCGGTGTGTCGCTGTCCCTGCAGGCACCAGGGTTCCAGACGCCGCACTGATGGCTTCAGGGACCAGCTGTGCTTGCCTCCAGAGACAGAAGCAAGCGTGCAGCTCATTTAGAACTTTAACAAATTTAATTTCGGTGACGCATCTCCGGGGCATGAATGTTCACGAGACGCCCACCACAGCTTCTTCGGACCTTCCATCAGAGGGTAAGGAATTTGACAATTTAAGTTCTTGACCACCTGGGCAGGAAAATTCGTGTCTACCCACTAGGGTTATGGGTCCCAGAAGGTTTCTGAAATGGAGTCGTTTCAGAGGTCGTAGCTGCACACACTGTTCTCTGCAATTAGTGACCTCAATGGGGATTTTTCTTTTTTTTTTTTTTTCCCCTGTCTTAGGAATTCATCGGTTTCTGTCTGTGGGTTCATAAAACAAAGTGACTGTTTTTTGTGTGCCTTAGAAAAAAATCAGTCTTCTTTCCAGAGAACCATGTAGCCATATGATGGGCAGGGGGACAGGGTGACCGTGACCACGAAGATGAACACAGCAAGTATATTTAGAATCAGACCGATCTGGACGCGCTCCTTCTCTGCCGGGTGACCTTGGGCTAGTGACTTAACCCCTCTGAGCTGCGGGGTTTGTTTCCATGGGTGGCCGCAACCAGTTTCCCCGGCTCTGCAGGGTCTCAGGGCAAGACGCGGTAGTGTGTGAACGTCTGCAGCAGGTCCGGAGCCTGCATGAAGTGTGGGGGCATTGCTGGAGGCCCAGGAGGGCTTCGGAGGCCACGAGGTCAGAGCCCCATGACCGCTGGTGTAGTGGACTGTGACGCCGAGACTGGGGTTCTGCCCTGCTCCATGCACGGAGCGGCGTCCTCTCCGTATCGTCCGTGCGGTGACCAAGGCCCCGGACCCCGCACTGTCAAAGGGGCGTCGGAGAGCCCGCAGGCGGCCTGGCCGGCCTTCGCGCCAGCAGCGGCGCAGGGTGGCCTCTGGGACTTGCCTGCAGCGGGGCCGGCGGGGACAGCGTGGGGTGCGGCCGGCGCTCGGGTCCGCCACGCCCCTCCCCGGAGGACCCTGAGCTGCAGGTCACTGCGGGCAGCCGCCGCCCCGAGCAGGGCTCCTCCGGCTCCGCGCAGACCTGCGAGGTCTCGGGGCCGGCCGTGCGCTGCGGCGCCCCGCGCAGCCCCCGCAGCAGCCCCTCCGCGCGCACGAGGCCCCGCACGGTGCCGCCAGCCAGGCGCGAGCACCCCCGCGCCCTCCGCGACAGCCCCCGGGCGGGCCGCGGCGACCGCCGACGGGCGCGCCCGCAGGGAAACGGAGGCCGCGCTCCGACTTCCGCCGCCGGAACGACGCCCCCCGACCCCGCCCCGCCCGCCCGCACGGGGGACCCCAGCGCCGCCCCCGCGCGCACCGCCCCCCGCCACGCTCTCCGTCCCCGCGCGCACCGCCCCCCGCCACGCTCTCCGTCCCCACGCGCGGCGCGGCCGCCGGAAGTAGCGCCCCGGGCGGCGCCGACGCCGGAGCCCCGCGCGCGGCCGGCCTGACGTGGCCCCCGGAGCCCACCGAGGGTCCCGCGCGCGGCCCCGCCGCCGCCCCTCGGCGCCCGCGGCCCGCGCCCCCCTCCCCCCCACAGGCGGCCCGAGTGGGGACGGACGCAGCTACGCACCCAGGAGGAGGCCGTCCATGTCAAAGAGCAGGTGGGTGACGGGCCGCGGCGGGGGTACGGGCGCCGCCATTGTACCGCCGTCACGGCCGGGCGGGGGCGGAGGGAGCGACGCGCGTTCGCCAGGCCGCACACGCGCGCTCCGGGGCTGCGCGCCACTGCCCCCCCCCCCCCACCGAGGCGCTCTGCGCACGCGCTCCGCGAGCCTCCGCGCCCTGAGACGCTCTCGTGCACGCGCGCTTGCAGACGCCCTTCGGGTCCCGAGTAGCACTGCGCACGCGCGCCTCGGTCTGTCTGTGGAAGCTTCTCTAGTGCGCGCTGTGAGCAGCTGTCGTGCACGCGCGCTTGCGACCCACCTTCGGGTCCGCAGTCTCACTGCGCACGCGCGCATCGACCAGTCTGAGGAAGCTCGTCTAGTGCGCGCCCTGAGCCGCGCACGCGCGCTCCGCTCTGCTTTCCCTGCCGCGTCCCGCGCGCGCGGGCGACTTTTGGATGTTCAGCTGAGCCCGCGCCGCGGGCTCGGGACGCACCACGAAGGGGCACAAGTTTGCCTCGCGGGCACCCCGACACACGGGGCCGCGCAGAGCCTAGTTCCCGGCCTGAGTTCCCGGTCTAGTTCCCGGTCCTAGTGCAGGACCTGAGTTTGGAAAGGGCGTGAGGAAGGACGGCGAGCCTAGAAGGGCCGATGCATGAGGCTGTTTGGGGGTTAGGGGCCTGGAAAGGTGCTCAGGATGGCATCAGCGCCAGCCGCCCGGTCACCGGGAGCCCACGTGGCCCGCATATGCAATCCGAGGCGGCCGTCCCGGGACCCTCGCGGGTTTCCTTTTCAGTTTCGCGCGCCCGCCGCCCCGCGGGTCCAGGCGCATGCGCAGGGGCGAGCGGGTCTGAGGCTCTGCAGCCCCTCACCTGCTGGTCCCCGGCCATCCGGGGCTACCGCGTTCTCCCAAAGCGCCCCCCCCCCACCCCCCGTAGATCCAGTAGGAAAGGGCCTGAACCAAATTATTAACGTGCCCTGCCGGCACATCTGCCTTCCTCGCTCTCAGTTGTTCCTTGTTTTTTGGGGGGGGGTTCCCCTTTTCCACTCTTGCTGAATGCAAGCTGTAAAGATTTTTTTTTTCTTTTGGGACACTCCCCCAAAACAGCTCTTTGACCCTGTTTCTGTTTACTGTCGGTTGATGTCGCGTGTGCATATTTATGCATCACCTCTTTAAAGAAGCAGATGCCAGAAAGTTCCAGACGCTTTAAAACGTGACGGTGCTACTGCTGGGACGCTGGAGGAACTGCCCTGGGGACAGCTTGGACTCGGCCAGCGGAACGTCTGTGCCTCAGTTTCCTCGTGTGTTAAGTGTGGGCGTCAGAGGAGACAACGCAGGTCAAGCTCTGAGTATCAGACATTAGTACATCCGTGGTCAATGCGTGTCTTTCCAGAGCTGTTGCTAGGAGAGAGTCTAAGCGTGATGTCTTTTGGGGGACGCTGGACCTCACTCAGCGAAGGTAGTTCATCAGCAGAGTAGTGAGGCGACTGTGACCCCAGTATGCTAGAACTGCTGCGACAAACTTCCACAGACTGGGTGGCTCGAACCGCATGTGTGTTCCGGAACAGGTCTGGAAAAGCCAGAAGTTGGAGAACAAGGTGCCAGCAGCAGGGTGAATGCCTCCCGAGGGCTGTGAGCATTGGATTGTGTCCAGACCTCTCTCCGTGCCTGGTGCACGACCTTCTTATCTCTTTCTAGCATCTGCTCTCTCTGTGGTTCTATTTCTCCATCTCAGTTTCTCCTCGTTGTGATAACCCCAGTTATCCCAACTCCCGCCCTACCCTAATGACCACCTTTTAATCTGATTCCCTGGCTGAAGACTCTGTCTTCCAATAAAGTCACAGCTCCCTCCCTGCTGGGACTCCAACTTTTTGTTTGTTTCAATGCCTGAGGTTATCTGTCCCATGCTCTCGTGCTGGGTCTGTAGAGTTCTCCTTCCCAGATTTTCTACTGTCTCTAGAAACCCTTGGGGAATTCATGTTTTTCTCTCCCATTGTAACATCACAGCTCTGTAGATTCCTTAGATAAGAGGAGAGAAAGCTTCCAGGGCCAGAACTAAGCATTCAGAGCTGCAGGGGGTAACCTGGAAGCTGTTTCTGGTGGGTCCCTAAGTCAGGCAGGGATAGTTGGTTCCTTAGAAGGAGTTTTCAGGATTTCTACAGATTCACTTCAAAAATAAGCCAGCTCGCAAATGCAGGTGACGAAGGTTACACAACCGGAGGGTAGAGACATCTGGAGTGTCTTCCTTGCCCTGTTCCAGCCATTGTGGCTCTGGGCACGGCTCTTGGCAGAGAATCCAGCTTGTTCACTTAGAGGAACACAGTTACCAGCCGGGAATTTCCCTCCAGTTCCCCGAACCTGGCAAAAACCTCACTGGAATTGCGGAAGAGATGCACTGGTCAGTTTGGCGTCCTTGTGCTTTCCACAGAGGTGAAAACGTGCTCCAGATCATTTTTTTTAAAGTCTTGTTTTCTATAGTCTTATTTGTCAGAGAGGCAGAGACAGCGAGAGAGATAGCGTGCACACAAGTAGGCAGAGAGGCAGGCAGAGGCAGAGGCGGAAGCAGGCTCCCCACTGAGCAAGGAGCCCGATGCCGGACTCGATCCCAGGACCCTGAGATCATGACCACAGCCGAAGGCAGCGGCTCATCTGACTGAGCCACCCAGGCGTCTCTGATGTCTATACTCTTGAGAAACACCTCTTGCGAATGATGGGAGATGCCTCTTTAAAAACACAAAAGCAAACCAAACTGTGAGAACCATCATGCTTTTCTATGTCATAATCTAGATTAGGGAAAAAACAACAAAACAAAACTGAAAATGTGCTCACAGTTAAAGTGATTTCTGTGCAAGTAACTAGAGGCACTTTAACTTGTTAATCCTTTTAACAGTCTGAGTGTCTGTGGAGTGGGAGGATGGATTTCCTTGCACGGATTACAATTTATTTTTGCAAAATTGTGTTTTCCCCGTGGGATGATGGCTCACTTTTCCTGACAACTTTATTTATTTTTTTAAGATTTTATTTATTTGGCAGAGAGAGAGAAGGTGTGCATACAAGTAGGGGGAGCAGGAGAGGGAGAAGCAGGCTCTCCGCTGAGCAGGGAGCCTGATGCGGGGCTCAGTTGCATGACCCTTGCTCTGTGACCTGAGCCAAAGGGGGTTGCTTAACCGACTGAGCCTCCCAGTTGTCCCTCTTGATGACTTTCAGTAAACTGTGGTACAGTGGTGTCAGAAATTCATTCAGAATGGATTGTGCACATTTGAAAGAAGGATCCATTCCCACACAATGAATAAACTCCAACGTGCCATTCATTGTCTGACGAAAGGATGTGTATGCCTGAGCCATTCTTTGTCTTGTTGGGTTGGTTCTTCCGTCCCTGCGTTTGCTTTCTGTGTTGTATCTGGAAGGCTGCTTGTGGCCCAGGCCATCATCGGGAGCACACCCAGCTCTGCGGTTCAGCCTGAGCAGCCCTCATTTCCTTCCCTCGCTCCGACCTGGCGCCCGGGAGCACGAGGCTGATGTATGGTGCCCTTCCTGCAGGCTGCCCGTGTGGACCCCTGCAGCAGCTGGTGGCCAGGCTGGGTCTCTAAGGGATGTGTGCAGGCAAGCCCCGAGGGACACTCGAGGTCGCTTGTGGCAGAAGTCGTTAGGCTTTGTGGGTAGTTTGGAGAGCCTACTGGGCTCTGCCAACGGCAAGGGCTGCTTGCTTGCATGGGTCAACATTCCTCTAGCAGGAGAACCTGCAGGGGGGAGGCTTCAGACATAATGGTGTCGAGGCAGAGGGTGCACATTAAGAATGTGTATCTTTTCATATGTGCACGTGCATACATGTATATAGATACGTTGTTACATCTCACGTGCATACATGTATATAGATACATTGTTACATCTCATACTGGGGCTTTAGGTTCATGTTCTTTTTGGACATGCACGTAGACCTCAAGTAAAAAGATGGTGGCTCATTGCCAACCCGAAAATGACGGGGGTTCAGAGATCCTATAGGGTGGTGAGCACTGGAAGGTGCCTGGAGAGTGTTGCCCGAAAGCGTCACCCTTTTTCCCTGTCCCTCGTCCTCTGCATCTGTTTCACGTGGACGTTGCTCTCTATCCTTTGTCATGTCCAGTGAACAGGAAATCAGCTCTTTCTCTGAGCTCAGCGAGACACTCCAGCAAAGTAATGGAACCCTAGGGGGGGTGATGGGAACCTCTGATATGTAGTAGCTCGGTCAGGAGCACAGGTGACGAGCTGAACTTGAGGTTGGCATCTGGTGGTGGGAGGAGGTGACTTGTAGACTGAGCCTGGCACCTGGGGCTCTGACACAGCTTCAGGTACAAGGGTCAGGACTGACTTGAAATGCAGGACACTCGGGCTGGTGTAGGAACATTGCTTTGTGCTGTGGGAAAATCCGCACATACGGTCTGGTGTCAGAGTCATGCTCCCGAATGCCTTACCGCCACGTCCCATCCCAGTGGGGATGATGGCTCTGCCCTGTGAGTTTTCACAGGGAGAGGGGCATTCAGTCCATTTTAGAGGGTAACTTTGTCTTTCGCCATTGAGTTATTTTCAGGTTCCATAACACACACCCTTAGTTCCTTGTCCCCTGCGTGCTGTGACCAGGTCATCCTGGCATGCCTGGGACGGAACCACTTGCACTCTCAAAGCCTTCCATCCCCGGGAACCCTTCAGCCACAGGCTCAAGAGGACACTCGCCCCCCTTCCCTTGGCTGCCTCAGTGTGAGGTACAGGAAGTTTATGGGTCAGGACGGAGCGGACAGTCTCAGCAAGGTAGCGAAGTGGTGATAGGATTCATCTGTCCTGGACTTTAAAGCAAGGGGAGGGTGTGGTTGGGGACTGATGAGTGACATACATGTCACAGTCAGTGATCATGCAGACATTCCTCTGTGGACGGGAAGGGCAGGTTATGCTACAGACCTCCATACCTCAGTGTCCTCGTGGGTCGGCCTTCCCTGCAACGTGGGCATACGCATGATGCCTCACCGCGGAACAGCATACCATTCACAGAGACGGCGGATGACGCCACGGGCCTCGGCGTGTG